ACTAATTGGAGTGTAAAAATATGAAAAAACTTACGTAGTTTCAACAGCCTAATATATTTTTTTACTTTGTTTTGTTTTATTTTGCTTTGTTTAGTTTTAGTGATAGCTGGGAGGGATGTTATTTAGGATTAGCTGACAGAAACATTTCCTGATCTACTCTTGAACAAAGATAGTAAAAGCAAACAATGTTGCAATGATTACTTTATTTTGTTATATAAGAAAGTGCTTGCTGCAGTAGGAATACCTGAATTCAAAAATAAGCTCTGGCCTTGCAAAGGACACATTTCCCAACCTCACATTTTTCAGAACTTTCATGGAAAATTTTGAAAATATTAATTTTAATTTTTAGCTACCAAAGAAAAAAAAAAAAAAAAAAAGGAGAAAGATGTTGTGAACTCAGGCTTCAATAATCTGACTATCTCTGCCCACATGTGATATCATCAACCACTTTTGCAGTCTCTCTGGACACTTCTACTGTGAAATCCCTTTTACTGCATCAGTACAGGGAACAGATACTGCTTGCAGACTCTATTGCTCCAAAGTTTCTCTGCTATCTGTTTCTCATCTCAGTGCATGACCCATATCTGTCTTGCAAAGGTTTGGAGAATAATTCAGATTGGAAGGAGCCTCTGGAAAACCTTGTCCAGCTGCCTGATAAAAGCAGGGCCAACTTTACTGTCAGAATTTGTTGTTCAGGGCTTTGCCCTGAGGAGTTTTGAAAGAGATTTTCCAGAGTTCAGCCTCTCTCATTATTAAGGATTTTTTTCCTTATGTTTGATGGGATCTTCTGCAATTGCAACTTGCAGTGGTTCTATCTTGTCCTTCAACTGAATCCTCCTGGGAGGAGATGATGCTGTCTTCCTTGTAGCTGCCCATCCAGTCTCCTTCTCTGGAAATATCCTAGGCGAGCCTGCCCTAGCAGGGCAGCTGGACTAGACAATCTGCAGAGGTCACTTTCAGCCTGAAACATTCTGTGATTCTTTGATTTGTACTCCAAAATCCTGGTTTAGCTGTTCTTACTCCTCTTCTTGCCTCATGCCACAGCTCCTACCCTGCTGTCTGTTCCAGACTTTCTTCTCTTTGTTAGGTTTCCTTCCTGAAAATGGAGTCTTCTCCTCTCGTCTTTGATCTGGCACTCTGGATTCCCTTCTCCCCTCCATTTCCTGGGAAAGTTAGGAACAGCAGAGAGGAATCTCCTCTGTAGTCATTTCCCAGAATGTTTCTTCACAAAGTATTCTGCTTATGAACTGGAAAATCATACAATTACTGAATGGTTTAGGCTGGAATAGATGTTAGAGAACATCTAATTCCAATCCCACTGACACAGGCAGGGTTGCCACCCACTAGGATCAGATTGCTCAAAGTCCTGTCCAGTCTGGCTTTCATGGATGGAGCATCTACAGCTTCTTGGCAACTTGTGCCAGTACCTCACCCCTCTCACAGTAAAGAATTTCTTCCTCATGTCTAATCCAAATCTCCCCATTTTTTAGTTTAAAACTGTTCTTCCATATCCTGTTTAAAAAGACCATTTAAAAAGATGGTTTTGGGTTTTTTTTTTGTTTCTGAATACTGAAAGGCTGCAATAAAGTGTCCCATGTGTCTCCCAAATGTGTCTTTGATGCAATGACTGTTAGACATGGACAGGAGGAGGAAATTTGTGGAACAAGCTTGGCCCTGCAATGCAGCAGAACTGCCATGAACAATAGCTTGGGAGAAAAGTGACTCTCCCAGTGTTTCAAGAGTGTTCCCTCATTTTTGCCAAAATTTTCATTAGTATCATGTTGCATCAGACTCCAGATGTCTTTCCTTGTGAGTGTTGCACAGTCTGACAGACTGTCCTCAGAAAATTCTTGTCTCTTTTTCCTCCCGTTTCAGCTTCATCCCATTTCCCTGTTTACTTTACACTTCTGTTTGCCACCCTGCATGAACTGATGTCCTCCTCTGTTTTCATGCATCACACACTCGTGAGTAGCCAGCATATTGTCTAACCAAGGTACTTGTGTCTCCTCCTGCTCTGCACAGCTCATCTCTGATTACCTCTTTGCAAAGCTGCTCCTATCCCTCCCTATTTGATGCTCTTCAGTTTCCAATTACACTTCTCCATTCCCCTTCATGAAGACATGAATTGTACTAAAACTCTCTTCTCTACTCCATTTCCTTTCCATCTTTCACTTCTTCTATCATCCTTCACTTCTGTTCCATTATTTGTCTCCTAGGCTCTCTTCTCACCTTTCCTCTTCAGGAGATTGGGTGAAGCTTTCCTGATCTCTAAACTCTTGGGGAGAGGTGGGTAAGTGCCTACCACTGCCTGTTCCTCTTCACTTCTCAGAGGGAATTACACACACACTTTGTTTTCTCCTTATCCTATCACTCACTCTGAGCACTTTGACGGCTCTAAACTCTCAATCCTCATTCCTCTTTTTTCTTGGCAAAATCTATTTGGACCCTCACCAATCCAGGACCCATGAGACCAAAATCTGTTCTGGCTGCATAGCTGCAGCATTGACAGGAAGCTGAGGATGCTGCACTTAATTTTTGCTCTTTTCTTATGTCTATTTTTCCTATTTTCACTCAAATTTACCCACAATAACTGAGGATGGGAGTGAGAGTGGGGGGATAGCTAACTTGAGTTGATATGGTCCTTCTGAGTGCAGACTACAGGGCAGAGGAGGTGTTAACATTGTTGTTTTTCAGCTCTTCAGATGCTCCAAACAACTCTGGCAGAGCAGAAACTCTAATTAGAAAGCCCTGAGTGAAATAATTATATATACATCTGCACAACCTCACTTTTTTCGTGGAGTTTGTATAAGACATACCACAGAGTCTTGGTTTTTAGAGGAAATGGACCCAGATTTCTGGAAAATGTGACTTGTTTCAGGGTTGGCAAGACACAGGCTGCAAATCTAGGCATCTGAAATGAATCAGTGATCACTTTTGAAAATCTTGATCAAAATGTTTCACATGGACAGGCATGAAATAGGAATCCACAAACAGCAGCACCACAGGCTGTTTGTTATTACAGATGATCGTTTAGCACAGGCTGTTCTAATTTAGGTTAAACAAAGCTAATCCTGAAATTATCTATTTCTGAAACTAGCCTTGTGTGTCTGTGCCTTTGCACATGTGTGCACAAACAGAATAGGTAATTGTTTATGGAAAATAACATGGCTAGAGGATACCTTGCCTGGTTTTCCTTCTTATAGATATACAGGGGATCCAAGTTGTTGTCTTGGTTTTCTCCTCCCCAGGGTTCTGAATTACATGGGGATTAGATAGAATAGGAGAGCAAATGCTTTGGGCTCCCAAAATATTAGGAGGCACTGACTGTGTTGTGCACTGACCTACTGTGGCTGCTTTTGGGCTGGGTACAGTCCCTGCAGGGCAGTCTGTAGCCAGAGGCCCTGGTACTCTGTCAGGGTACAGAATATTCTGCAGGGAAAAAAAGGGGTACTCTGGAGAAAAAAAGCCAGTACTTCTGGAAACTGAGACTTATTTTCCACGGATGGCTAACATGAGCCATGACTTGCTGAGCATTTAGGGACTCTCTCTGTTTCTATTTTTTCTAGCATTCCTAATGTTTCCAGTGCTTATATTTACCTGATGCCAGGCACATTTAGTTTAGATGTCATGTAGAAATCCTTTACTCAGAGGGTGGTGAAACACTGGAGCAGGTTGCCCCATTCCTGTAAGTGTTCAAGACCAGGTTACAAGTCTGTTGCAAGGACTTTATGGAAAAGCAATAAATGAGGGTGTAAATTCTTGCCTGCAAAATTCCAGTCAAAACAGACTGTATCATGCCTATTATCCTGGTGTCAGCTGGGACAGGGTTAATCTTCTTCTTCATTAAACCGTGCCATTAATTAGGAAAATGAGGCTGACTGGTGGCAAGATGTGTAATGTCTGAGTAATGTCAACGTTTGATGCAGGAGTATGGCTTGGCATTTGGGCTTCTTGAAGACACAGCAAGAGACAGGAGAGGCAAGAGCGGGGGCTGTCAGCTACAGTCCCCCTATTTTGATGCATAATATCATGCAGGGCTCATATTTCTCCCTGTTTTTCCTCTCTGCTATTTTATTAATGGGGTTTTTCCCCCCCTCTTGTTCCTCACCCCATTCAAAATAATAGAATTGGCTGGAGCAGGGTTGTGTCACTTCTTGGTTGATCATACTGCTAACAGAAAAATCCAAACAAGCCGTGCTGCATTTTACTCCTGAGGCTTATTCTTGAGAAAACTGTTTTTGCTCCTGGGGAAGTCAATGCAAATCTAATTAGTCCCAGATGTTTAGTAGTAACAACCACTTCCTTTTGGGAGAGCTAAACAAAAGCAGTGTGAAAACTAGTAATTAAACGGGTTTGACTCTGTCATCAGGTCATTAACTAATTCCAGCCATGCTGGTCAAGTTAATACTGGCTCTGAGAAGGAGATTGTCACGCTTGACAAAAAAGCCATAAACTCAGTGTGTGGCAGATTAACCTGTGTCTGGGCACACAGCTCAGCTTGCCTTCACACCAAGGGAAAAGCTCAGCACCTTCAACATCGACTTCCAGATAGCTCCTGGGATTGCTGCTTGTTCAATCTGCTAGACTGGAGACTAAAGACTGGACTTTATATCCCTGCCTGAATAAAGGCTTGAGCTGATGGTAGGCTCAAGCACGAGCTTTTGTAGATGTTAGATCAGGCCCCATTGCTGCTGAGGGTTTGTGCAAATTTGTAGAATTAGGGAATCACAGAATGGTTTTGGTTGGAAAGGACTTGCAAGACAGTCTAGTTCCACCTCCATTGCCATGGGCAGGGACACCTTCTACCAGACCAGGTTGCTCAAGACACCACCTAACCTGGCCTTGGACACTTCCAGGATGGGTCACCCACAAGTGCTCTGAAAAATCTATTCGAAATTTTTGCTTGCATCTTCAGTAGATCCTCTTGGTCTCCATAGCACTCTAAGATATGGAACAGCTGCCCCTTCTTCAGGACCAGGAGGTAGAGGTCTAAGGTGGAGTCTGAACACCATAGGAAAAACAGGAAGGCTTTTCTTTTCATCTGTGGAGCATTTCAAACTGGTGATTTAATATATTCACAACCCTGTGCATTTTACAAAATTCAAATATGTTTTTATTATACAAAATTCCACAGTGAAATCCACCAGCCAGTTTCTTACGTAGCTGCTTTAAAAATAGAATTATACACCTTTTTGTAGTGTGTTAATTTTTTCATTCACTAGCTTGAAGAAACAGAAATGAAGCAGCAATTTGAGTTATTTACCTGGACAGGTTTTGGTTTGACCTCTGTTTCTGTTATATGCCTTAATGTACAGTTCGTGGCATTAACAGAAGACCTGATATAGTTCCTTTTGAAGCCATTGCACTCCATTAGCAGGTCAGGCTCCCACTGCTGGTGAGCTTTTATTCACTTCAAAAGGGTGAATTTTGTGTCAGGGTACAAAACAAAATACATGTCAGTGTCAGCTTTCATCAATGTAGCATGTTAGCTGTGTTAAACCCATCACAGAATGAGGATCTGCATAACTTTTCTTACAGCACATCCTCTAGACTGTAATGCCTTTTTAGGGTGACACAGTGAACATCTGATCTGAACAATGGCACACAACTGAGTTTCCTGTGTATCATTTCACAATGGTATCTTTTTGCAGTGTATCTTTCCATGACCTTTAAAAAGAGATATATTATTCTTCTGTATTGGAATTCAACTGTATGCCGTGAACTTCCCTCAGTTTTGCTTAGAAACGTAAGCATTTCAGTCCAATTCTAGCTGGTTGAAATTCATTCTCCAAGATTCTTCTTTTGCAAAGTGTTCACCCCAGAGATTAATTTCTTCACATTATACCCAGTTAAATATGTATTGCACGTGAGAGGCCAATTTCTCCTCTTTTAGTTAAACTGTGGGCCTGTGATCTGAGCAGATCTGGTAACACATCAGCAGCTGTCTCATGCTTGAGATTTCTTGATCTCATCTACCTCTCATGTCTTGCTCCAGTGACTGGAGCAACATCCCAATAAATGAAAGGAGATATCCAAAGAGGTTCCTACCACATGGTCTTTGGTTTCCATGGTCAGCTGTCTAAATAGTAGACAGGAGCACAATGGACACTACCTATAATTAGGTTTTGTTTTCTTTTTTTTTTTTTTTTTTTAGCTAAATTCTCATTGTTTTGGAACTCAAGGGGAATTTGCAACCAACTTCACTGAGTGAAGATTGTGTTTTGACCCACTCTGGCATATCTTTGTATAATTTCAGTTTAAGAAGGGTTAGGAGCTAACCAGCTAGGTAAAAGCAAAGCTCAGACCAAATCAAAACATCTTGTGGAGGCACATAATTTTGAGAAAGGATTTCCTAATTGGCTGATGCCATCATCTGAGCTTAGTGAAAAGTCTCAGATCTCAAGACCTTAGAGGCCTTTTTCTTTTGAGCTGGTTTAAATTACACATCTCTCAAAACAACAGCAGAACTTTACAGTGGCCTCTTCTAACACTGTGTAATCTTTTAAGCAGATCTGCATGTGAATGAAGCAAGTGCAAAACGGAGCAAATTTTCCTTCCAGTCCCTCCAACCCAGACCACTACAGTGGTGCAGTTCAGGGACACCTCAAAACCATCTTAAAATCCACAGTTAAAACTCAAAGATGAGATTTTTATCCTTCATTCCTACACAGTGCCAGGGTAGCACCTGATTTCTTCAGTTTTCAAGGCATTTTGTGTTCCTATGCTTTAAATTGATGGTTAAAGTTTTGCCTTCGGAAGCAAAAAAATGAACCCACACCAATGATGATCACAGATAAAACTAGTACAAATGTTAATATAATGAGGATGTTGATTTTCTTCAGATCCTCTTTTTCACAGTCTTCTGGTCTAATGTTCCCAATGTGCATTTCTTCCCAATACCCAAAGCTCTGAACGTACTGGCATGTTAAGTGCTCCACGTTGGGGATCTGGACGTTTTTGTTCTGGATCATTGATGAAAGCCAGATGTTTCCACAGCAGTTGAGTGGGTTCCCAGTGAGATACAAGTTTTTAAGTGAATTTTCTAATGCTAAAATATTGCTGTCCTGTAACGTACTGAACCTATTGTTCCGTAGGTCTAGAACTTCCAGTGGAGAGTCACTGCTCCACTTAGGCAGCCAGTTCAGCTGATTTTCAGAGAGGTTTAAATGCTTAAGGTGACTAAAACAAGGCAAGTCAATATTTAAATCTATCAGGCCATTGCCATGTAAATGCAAGTATTCCAGAGACTTTTCCAGTCCTGCTAGTGCTTTAAGTTCTATTTTCAGTCCAGGGTTCATGGAGAGATCCAAGACAAGCAGCGGGGTCTTGTAGAAGGTGTGTGCTGGTAAGATGTTCAGCATGTTGTCTGCTAGGTACAAGTACTGGAGAGCAGGAGAATTAACAAATGACACACAGCCACTTTCCTCTCCAGCAAGTCTTTGCTTAGCTAATCCTGAGTACATGCTGCAAAGGCTGATATTATTGCTCTGTAGGTTAAGAAATCTGAGGCTAGGAAGACTGGAAAAGATGTCGAATTGCAGGGTCTGAAGGTTGTTGTTTTGAATATGAAACTCCCTCAAATTTGACAAGGCATCAGCATCAAGGAGAAGGTTCTGCAAAGCATTGTAGCTCAAGTCAAGGACAGTTAGGGAGATCAGTGCGCTGTCATAACTTACTGCAAATGCCTGAAGACAGTTTTTGCTGAGATTAAGGGTGTGAAGGGACAACATTGACTCAAAGAACCCATCTGGAATGGATTTGATTTCATTATAACTTAAGTCTAAATATACAAGTTGGGATAAATAAAGAGAACTTGTATTTTTACTTTGCTTCTGATCAAGAAGATGAAAAGAAGCATCTAGCCATTCATCATCCATGTAGTCCATTTTATTATATGGGGATTCAGCAGTGAGCTGGATTAAATTATTTGATAAATTCAGAGTTACCAGCCTATTTACCTGAGGGAAGACTGGGAAGTGGAGCAATTTATTTTCACTAAGATCCAGATATCTTAGACTATATTCATCATTTGACTTTGTGATGCTGAAGGTCTCAATGCTATTCCTGCTAAGGTCAAGTATCTCCAACTGCCTGAGATTGAAATCAGAGATGCAAGTAATTGAATTTGTGGAGAGATTGAGTTTGGAAAGGTTTGCTAGAGTCTCAAAAGCACCTTCTTCTATTTCCATGATGATATTTCTCTGAAGATCTATCTCCACAAGACTGGGGGATCCCTGAAACATCTTGTGTGATATCACTACAATACTGTTGTCTGCCAAGGAAAGATACTGCAGTGTTGGAGCTTGATTAATGAAATACTCAGCCATCCCATTGTACAGATTGTTGTGGGACAAGTCCATTGTTTCCACCTTGGGCAAAAGTCCAATGCCCTCTGTCACATTCTGAACAAGCTCATATAAATGATTATTGGCTAAATTTATTTCCAGCAAACTCGTCATGTGTGCAAACACTCCAGACGTAATGAAACTTATCCGGTTGAAGCTTAAATCCAAATACTGGAGCGAGGTGTAAAATGATAATGGCATTTCAGGGACGCTTTGAATCAGATTTCCAGACAGATCTATTTTGTTTGATCTATTTTGTTTACATTCAGATGGAGCTCGTGAGGGATTCGGTGGAGGTCTTTGTTGTGGCAAAATGCCTGTGAGTTTGCCTGCCAGAAAAAGAGAGAAAAGGGGCTGTCACTTGACAAATTAAAAACATTTTTGCATGATATAGGCAGAACCTCCTCCTGAAACACTGATCCCACCACATTATCTGAGCAGTCAGACAGCAAGAGCAACAATCCTAACACTTCTCTGCAACTAACAGCACTCTTTTCGTTATAAAGGCATCTCTGACTTACAACAGTAGAGTTTTGTCTGTGTATGATACCTATGGAATCCTCTCCTTTTGTACCTTTCTCCTGGACTCTTTTTAACAGCCCCAGGTAAAGGAGTTTTGCCCCTTTTCCATTGCAATCAAGCATAATTTCTTCACTTTCCTTCTGATGTTTAATTTTCTCACTTTTACATCTGTGTTAGATTTTTTAAACTCAGCTTGCAAGAATAAGCAGTACTTGAAAAATCTTCACTCTATTGACAGTATGGGTTCAAAAGCAAGGAGGTGGAAGAACATATAAGGATTCTACATCACAAAACCTGTCTCTCCTTCATAATCACACCCTCAGATATTAGATCACGCTTTCCTTTAGCCATGGCTTAGTTTAGTAATGCACCTTTATCCAAAATGGGTCATTCAATGACTGAAATATTTCTGATGTAAATCCCCAAACTCTTCCTGCTTTTACTATCCATGTTTATCCTTTTACTAAGGTAACAATTCCCTTCTTCTTGCATGGGGGCACGCCTTGTGAAACTGCTCTGACAAAACACACGTGACACAACATGGAAAAGAAAAATTCTGTAAAGCCAGCACTCGAGAGAGAAAAAAGCCGTGAGGTGCAGTGAGGCCAATTCTCAGCAGCAGATAGAGAAAAAAAAAAAAAAATAATCAAAATCAAATCCATCTTCCAGAAGCAAGTCTGTTTAATTGCAGCTAGGATTGAGCCTGTGTCCAGGACAAATTTGGAGTGTGTGCTTATAAGGAAGATTTGGAACATGAACATGATCATCCTTACGTAAAGATCAAACTATATTTTGTTAATAAGGAGAACATACAGCAGTGTGAGGAAATGGAATGTGAAAGACTTGGGCAGCATTTAATTTACTGGAGGAAAACTCTTTGTCATAAATGTATTTGGTTGTCTGGACAATATAGTATTTGTAGAAAGATCAGAAAGGAAATAAATAAAAAGAAAAAAATCTGTTTAATCTTAATTTTTGTAGAGAAACAGGATCCAGATTTCATGACACAAAGTTTTTCAGATAGTAAAGAAACATTAAAAGTAAAAAATATTAAAACCCATCTGTTTCATGTGAACTTTGAGGTGAATGTAGTGGTACATCTGCCTTGAAGAAGTGTGGCACTAGTCAGTCTTTTGTGAAATTCTTTTGCATAATCTAAATTTTGGAGACCACACAAAAATGTGTCAGAGAAGTACCAGTGCTCATCCAAACTCCAGATATAGTCAGACTGCTCCACAGTCCTTCCTGTAATATATCTTTCCCAAAGATCCCAAGTAAACTGTCTACAAAAACCTGAAACCCTTTTTCCCCACCTCCAATTCACTTAAATCTCCCCCAGCTAAAAATATTACGGAGAAAGAAGGAATTTTTCTGGCCTCTCCCTGACATTATTTCTTTCCTGCCAAGCCGTCGTAGGATTCCTCATTTTGAGCTACAATATGCCTAGAATTGGGCTTAGCTCCAAGGCATTAAAAGGAAGCCTTTTTCATTTGGTTTGTGGAAGAGGCAGAATCCAGAAGGATGAAAAAATCCGGAGTGAAAAAAGCAGCAGGTACTTTGCAGCCTAAGGCAGATGCCAGGTTTCTTCAGACACTCTGAGCCAAATCTCAATAAGTGTAGAGCCCCCTTCACTCCTTCTGTGAGAAAGTTCTGATCCAACTCCTGTCAGTGCCAGCCAGCGTGTTTTCACTGAAGTCAATGGGCCAGAGGTCAGTCCCAGATCACCATGTATATTGCAGGATTTGGCTTTTAATCTGCATTCATGGAAGTGTCCTAGGGGTAAAAGGGACAGATAAAATCTATACTTCCCACTGTCTGCCATTTGCTCCTATAATAGTTCCCCTCCCATATTTTCTTTTAAAACCATCATTCTTTTTCTCTGACTATTTTGATAGTCACCATATTTTTTCTGCACCTTCTTTACTCCCCTGAGGCCCAAACTGCATGAATTTCATCCTCATCAGGAATGGGAAGAAAAGATAAAGCACATCTCATTGGGATAGATCATCTCTTTGGTGTATCTCCCTTCTCCAACTTCTTAGCCCAATGCACGGGCAGCCTGAGACTGGAAAAGAGAGTTTTGCCAGTCTCATGTTCTGACTTCATCTTTTCTGCTAGTGCTGCCATCAGTTTATTTCAAGTCCATTGTCAAGAAGTACTGCAGGGTGAGGGGCATTTGGTCCCTTCAGTATCTGGTCCCATTTGTGTGCTGGCAAAAAAACGACCCAACAGTTCAAAAGCTGAGCATCATTTGGATTATTGTTTCAGTTCTTCACTGCTCAGCATTGGGAGGAAGTTGTCATCCATGTTCTTAAGAGCCCTACAAGAAAAGCAGCTGGATCCAGGCCTCCACTCACATTTTCCTTTCAACTCAAGAACATTTGAACCAAAGAAATTGGACTGCACTTGTGTGGTGTCCATGGCCATTCCTAGAAGAGCTGCCCAGGTGGAGTTTCAGATACAGAATCAAACCTCAGCGGTTTGCCCAGGTACCCCACCTCAGCTGACCTGTGTTAACTGGTCATGCACCACCTCAACCCAAGATAAGACAGAATTTCCTAAAATCCCTTCCCTTCTGTAAATTATTTCAGAGCTTATCCTTTGCCAGCAAACATGAATTAGCTCTTTCTTTGGGAGGTAGAACATGATCTACTTGAAGCCTTGCCTGTCCTTGGAAGGTAACGTGAGTTAGGAAGAACCTGCTGACATTTAAGTTGTGCATTGTCTTGCAAGCAAGTAGATATGCCATAACTTGTATAATCAGTGCAGCTCACTCCAGTGTCAAGGGTCTGGTAGGGATTGCTTACTTCCTAAAACCTCTTCTAATATTCTTGTTCAATGACAGGAGCACTAGTGGTGAATCAGAGATGGGCACAAGTTTCTGACTCATGCCTCTTCTAGGAGACTTGAGATGAAAGCATTAAATTTTGAGCCGTTGCTGTTTTAAAGGTGTCAGCACAGGGAAAGTACCCTGTGAAACACTGAGGCTGTGATGAAAAATAGCAGTGCAGGACTTCAATGAAGCCAGCAGCTAATCCAGTAGCTCCTTCTTTCTTTAAGCAGTGTTTGCATTTACACGCACCCTTCGTTGGAGTAAACATCCAGTGAAGAAAGATGATCAGCATCGACATCTGCAGTGCTGAGCCGTTCATTTATTTGAGATGAGCGTCGCAGCCTTTGACTGCAGCTTTCTGTCAGAGCTAAATTTATCTCAGTTAACTGCTTAGAGCCTTGGGTCGTTGGCTTGATGGAACCAGTTTACAGTGGAGTGGTTGAAACAAGTACATGTTTATTTCTCAGCAGTCAGCTGGGTCTGCAACCCATCCAAAAACTGTGATGGGACAAATCTGCTTGGATTACTGTGTGTCTTTCCCAGCCTTCACTTGACTGTGATACATGGGGCCCAAGTTTCATCAGTCTTCCATCTTCAGACAATGAACTGAGCTATTTAGTCACTTTCCCAAGATCGTTCTGTATAAACTGGGTTTTAGTTTCTTTAGAATTCAGGAAGTGCAGCAACACAGCAGGTGGGAAGGAATGCAGCGAGTCCCATGAGGGAGTTGTGTACAGCCAGTAAATAGGGTTTTTTTTTTCCTATTTTGGAAATTCTTGAAGATTTGTGCTAAGCAGATTCAATATTCAGGGAAAAAAACAGTATTTTTAAAAACCTGTTACAGTCAGAAACACTTTGATAGGGAAGGGAGAAAACTCAGGTCTGAATAACATTCATAATAGTGTACTTGGTGCTTGCAAAAATCCAAGGAGAAAATTTTGTACTAGAGCAAGAGGCTTTGCCACTTCTTTTTTCTCCAGCAGAAGTCAGGTGCAACTTCCCTGGCAGCAAGGCTGTGTCAGGGCAGAGGAGGTCAGTCTCCCTGCTATTACAAAAGGGCTGGTATAGATACATTTCACAGAAGATTCTCTATTTAAAGCACAAAGAACTTAGGCCTGATAGAAAGGAGTTGATTTTAGGTCTAAGCCTTTTCTCTGTCTCAGTCCCAGAACCCCTCTATGGTCTTAAGGAAATCAGGTCAAATTTTTTTAACCAGCTCCCCTTTAGAAAAAAAACCCTGAGATAATGACCCTTCTTCCCCCCTCACCCCTCCTCCACCCCTCTTACGTGCTATCACTACAAAAAAGGACATAGTCTGAGAAGTGCCCACTACCCATCCCCTAACCCTGCAAATCCCACCTCTGCCACCACAGAAAGGCTGGTCCTGGGGGACTTCCCTTCTCAGAGACTGTGGCTGTTTGCACAGTGCCTGTACAAGGCTGTCCCAGCCTCACTGCAGATCCCAAAGGGCCTGAGCAGGAATCCCTCCTTACCATTTCACAGGATGTCCCCTCTATGGGATGATAGTTAAAGGCTCCTGTGTTCACCACTGCCAGCAAGAAGATGATGTTCAGTTTCATGGTTCTGAAGGTAAAAGCATTATAGTTAGATTTCAAATGGGACACAGAGGTCAACACATGTGAAAGCCAGCACCAGATCATCATCTAATATAGAGATGGACACAAGCAGTGCAATAAATGAACCCTCTCTGAGCCTACTACACTTCTGACCTACCTGTGTAGCTTTGTGTTCCTTTGTGTTCCTTTGAGCCTGGTGGGAAAAGGAGGATGCAAGGCATTTAATGAGTTTGTGTGGTTCCAGATGCTGCCTAGATGATATCCAGGCCTCACAATGAAATCCAGATGCTCATGCTGGGTAGTGTATCTGGCATCATAGAGAAAGAGCTCTCAAATGGAAATGGTTTATGTCGCCCTGAAAATTAAGCCTTCTGATCTTGTCTTTCATCTTTCCCAGGAAAGTAACTGTAAGCATAGATGTTTATGCATTCCTTCTAAGAGACATCTTTTGATGGATGTTTCTCATGATCAGTGTGATTGGGAAGGTGGTAACTTAATTATCCAATCCCTGGTCATTGTCAAGAATCTATAAATACTGGAGTCAGAAAAATAAAGTGTTTTTTCTTTCCTATCATACCATTGAGACGTGTCTGTGTGAATCATTCTGTGTCTTTTAGCAACGGGTTTATGTTTAGATACAACAAATTAAGAGGAGGATATTAGCCACAACAGGGCACCACCCTGATAGACATTCTTCTGTAATGCAGAACATGATTTCAGGTGGCTTGTGAGTTCATGTTTGTATCTATTACTTTGTGCTGCCCTCTAGGGCAGAAGCAGCTGTCTAATTGCTGGTTTTCTCCCTGTCTCCTGCTAACTAAGTACTGCTGCTGGAAAATCCACCTTTACACAGGTTTTCCCATTGCTTTCTCCCAGAGCCACATGCCTGAACTGTTGCAAAGCAAATTTCCCGTGGTTGAAATAATATGCCAAAGAGCTAGGCTCTTAACACTTCATATGCTTCACAATGCACCCTGAAATGAGAGGCATAAATCACAGAATCATGGAGTCACAGAATGGTTTGGGTCGAAAGGGACCTTAAAGATCCTCTGGCTCCAGCCCCTCTGCCGTGGTTAGGGACACCTTCCTGCAGACCAGATTGCTGGTCTAGCCATGAAAATGCTATGCCAAGACAACGGGGGAGGGCATGATTAGGTGCTATGGATAGAAAAATCCATGTTAAGCTCTCAAGAGAGCAGTCCATCAGTGAGATTATCACAACCCTTGACTGGGCACTTGTCATACTCATTTTGACCATCTTCCCTCAAGCAGGTTGTGTCTTGAGCTCCCCTTGTCTGGAGCTGGCTGCAGTGCTGATTTTGGCATTCTTCCTGGACTCAAGCTCTCTATCTGCAAACCCCTTGGGGTGAGCAGGGAACTTGAGTGAAGCTGGGGACTTCTGTGGTGTCCAGAGGTTTAAATTACTTTCAGATGCTCTGTGTTTAGAGTTTGTCCTGTCAGCAGCATGTAATAGCACTTGCAAAGTACAGACACTTTTGCAAGACAAACCTCAAACATTTGAGGCCTCCATGAGGAAAAATATATAAATTTAAAGATGGGGTATTTTGATCTAATTTAGAGATGGACTACTAATATCATGCCTGTAATGAAGAGCAACAAGTGACCTAGATGACTGTAGCTTCACATTTCCTTCACATGGAAGCTCAGAGCACTTTGGGAAGTTTGGATTTGCAAGGCTAAAAATAGCAGAGATTTTGTTGGTTGTGCTTTTTAAAAACCCAGGTCAGTTCCTCAGGCTGTTTTAGCAAGGGACCAAGCAGTTGTGCCAGGTGAACTGTGAAGAAGAGCCTGGACAGAAACAAATGCCAAACCAGGAGGGAAGGGCATGCACTGATTCTGCTGCTCAGGACTTTGCTTCATTAAAATCACAGCCAAGGCAAGACTGCATACCAAAATAAAGATTCCTACATCTTCTCTAACCCCAACATGGCTTTTCTCCTGTCTTTTGACGCCGTTGCCTTCCTTGTTTCTCACTCTGTCTTCTCTCTACTTGCACCTGTAGTCAGGTGTTTAGACAACAGAATTTCCCCACCAAAAATGGACATTTTCAAATAATTGGATACATGGGGTTTAGCCAGATTCCCTATGTTATTCACTTTTTTTTTTTTTTTTTTTCTACCCCTCTCTACAGGAAAGAAAAAGGGAATAAAATGACAATTGCATGAAATTCACCAGGCTGGAGACTTGCTGAGCAAGGGGATGAGTGAAGGGACAGTAGGAGAAGGGAAAATGAAAACACTTATATCAGCAGAAAGTGATTTGCAGATTAAACTATCTGACCATGAAAACAAACTATCTCCCTAGAAAACACAGTTCCTGGGAAAACTCAAATTCGGGAACTAAAACATAATAATTTCCCATATTATTTTAGTGCAGCAAAAGAGAGAAAAACAGGCTTTTAATTCAGCAGTTTGTTTTAGTTGACAGTGGAATCAATGCCTGGGAAAAGATCTATTCAATTTGTGTGATCCAACAGGAGGAAAAATGAGGTGAGGATAGTTATTTCTGATAGATCTGATTGCACGATACTGATACCCGCCCTTGAATCCATCCATCATTATGTTAGTAAAAAGTAAAGCACTGATACAATCACTGAAATGGAAATAACTGCTTTATAAAGAGGTTACTTATTGTAAATGTCTACCACTGAAAATTAAAGGATTTTAGCATTTTAGAGTAATAAGTTGATTTTAAAGTTGACATTATTCTATCTTAGCAAAAAAAAACCCACAAACATATTTCTGCTCTTGTGGAAAACCCAAATTTTGATTCTATTTAAGGAAACATATCTGAACTTTAATAAAAAATACTTCTGTCAAAATACAACCAGGTTTGGCTTTATAAATTTATCTGTGACTTTTAAATAAGTAAGGATTTTCTAAAACTTTATCAGTTCCAAATACTGTCTAAGTGTTAATTCCCGTGGTAACAATCCAGATGCAGCAAAACCCTCTCAGTAAGTCATTGTTCACCCAAGGTGACATTCAAGCTGTCAGGATCTTAAGAGTAGCACAATAATGCTGCCATCTCACACCTCGTGCTCCAACAGGGAGAGCTCAATGACAGTGCTGATAGTAAGAAGAGCAGAGGAGCCAAACAGCCTTTTTTTTCCCATTTTACCCGGGGGCTGTGTGATTTGCCCAAGGCTGTGTTAAGATTCGGGGAGCTGGGCAAGTGGCATTTAATCAGTGTACAAGGCTGATCTCTGCAGCACTCCTGGTTCAGAGCACTATAATGCAGCAATTCCACAAACAGGCTAAAGTCCTGTAAAGAAAGAAAAAATACCCAGACACGTCCCCACCTTTCACTACTGCAAACACAGAGAATAACAACAAACCTGGAGTATGACAACTGCATTGTTGTGAACTAATCGGTGCCTCCTTAACACAAGGGATCTGACTCGCTGCAGTGCAAGTCCCTGATGGGTTAAATATACAGCTGTGTGGATAGAGCCATCTACACAGTGTGTTTAGCCAGTTCCTCAGCCTATCCATAAACACGGGATATTTTATTTATACACTACCTTCCTCGTCCGTGTTACTCTTAAAGGCTGCAGCTCTAAGTCGGCAGAGCCCCCGTCTCTCCTGCAGTCAAAAGCTCAACTTTCCAGCACGCTCCCAGGTTCGCATGCATCTCCACATACCTGCTCTGTGGCTGGAGGAGAAGCAGGAGCAGGAATCACCTCTGCTTGCAGCCTTCTGTCTCACAGATTCTCCCAGCAGCTTTTCCACGGCAAGTCGAGGAAGAGTTTCCTTAGGGAAGTCGTACCTCTATTGCATGCCAGCTGACTAAAACTCTGTGAGCTCCGAGAGAAGTTTGAAGTCACAGGGAAAAAAAATGCTCCCCATAGACTGGTCTGTGAATTCATTCCTTTGCAGTCACGATCTCTTATGTATTCCCAGGCTCCCACAAGCATGTGAATACATACCTCCGTAATTGTTTTAAAATGTGTGTGTCCTCTGCGCTTCTCTCTATTTTCCATTTCGTCCATTCAGTCTTGGCTAATTTCCTGCAGTTTCTCAGCTGGTAATTATGCTCCTCTCATATTGACACATGAAACAGTCTGTAAATTCCACAAAAAGATCCCCTCTGCAGGCTCTGCAGACACGTGCTTGTCTCTGAAGTCATTCCCGCCTGTCCCACAGCTGTCAGCTTGCAGATTCCCAGGGGATGGAGTGCATCAGGGGCACCGAGCTAGTTGCAAACCCAAAACTCCAAGTCCACGCAGAGTGGGATGCATAGGAAAAGGTTATATGGGAGGGAAGTTTTGCAGTAGGGACAGCACATATGTTTGGATTCCCAACAGCTCAGTTGTGTCTCTGTGGCACAGCAGTGGGATGACCAAACGCACCCTTGGGGGAAAGGATAAATTCAATTTAATGCTTGAATGGGAAATAATGTAAATGCCTTCCAGAAAGGGCAGTGGGATGGCTTTTTCCTTCTTTCCCTTGCATGTGAAGATCTCTTTTATTTCAGAAGCAGGGCACTTGTGCAAACCGGTGGGGCACCTGTACATTACATTGTTGTCTTTTTCTGCTTAGACGTGCCCTGGTACCAGGGCAGGGGTGCATTGGCCCCTACATGATAGTTTGCAGCAGTGCAAACCTCTGAGAGAGTTTGGCCAGCTCCTCAGTGGGTGTCTCAGGATCAAACTGAGTGTTGGATTCACCAGCCAAGGCGCAGCCCTGCCTGGGCCGCTCTACCAGGGAGCTCCTGCAAGCATCAGAGACCAAAGCAAGCATCCCAGGGACCACTGCAGATCTTATTCCCTGGGTGCATAAAGAGTATCTCAATTGGGTGACCTCCTGCCTGGAGGAGAGTTTTGCCTTCAGAATTGTGTGTTTTCCCCTCTTTGCACTGACATCTGCCATTATGAATGAGGATTTTTGATGGGCCAAAAGAAAAAAGGGGGCTACTGATTCCTTCTACTGGAGAGCATAAATTCTGTCCAACTTCCCTAGATTTGTTTGTCAAAATCAGATAAAACCCATGTCCTTTAGCACCATGTGCCAAACAGCTTTGTGGATTCTGCTAAACATATGCTGGCTCCAGGGTTTGCTCCTCTGTGACGGGTTACTGCTCATTCTCTTTAGCACACCAGCTCTTGACAAGGTTACTTCAGATCTGCACCTTACTGCAGGATTCAAGATGAAAATGTTGACAGATGTGAAAGATGTGGTTTGTTAAATGTTGCAATGAGTACATTTTGCACCTGTTGCTGCAATAAGAATGCAACAAGGATAATAAATTTTAAAGCAAAGTGTACATTATGGCAAAGAAGTAAACAATAGCAATAAATGTTCTTAATGATATCATGTATGATAATGAACACGTATAGCTGTACATGCATATTTTTTAAAGGCCAAATGGTTTAACAATTAGTAGGCAAACTATTTCTCATTGACTTTTCTTGGAAACAGAAGCGGGTCTGGAGGAGTTTGTTTGTGTACAGCAGCTCCAAAACCTTATTGAGGACCTCAGAATAGCACCTACATAGGACATAGGTAGTCCAAAAAATACAGCACAGTATCAAGAAGTGAGCATGTGATCTGAAAGCCCCAATGACCCTGTGCTCTGCCTAAAGTAGGAGTCCACTCTGGCTCTATCTTGTGGCACCTCATGCTCTTTCATTTGTCTGGAGATGATATAGGCTGTGGCATCAACTCCACACTGATGTGTTGATGTCCATCTCCCACCCAAGCTGCACCTCCCCTCATGCTCTTTCATTTGTCTGGGGCTGACAAATGAGGTCACCAAGGAGATATTGTCTCCCCTCCTGTAATCACACCAGGGCAGCCTGTTGGCCAACTCGACATCGCAGCAGCCAAGCCTGGAGGACAGCTGCATTCGTGCTGCTCAGAGATGTGGGGCCAGTTGTATTATTCAGGTGGTGCATGGCTGGCTGAAGGAAAATGGCCTGTCACAGAAAGGATAGGAAGCCTCCTGACGATGAGTTTCAGGCTTGTATGGAAGCAGAAGAAATTCTTCATGCAGAAGCTTCTCCTGTTAGATGTCTATCTCTGGTGTGTGGGCTGCAGAACCTTGTGTCACACAGTGGTTGGTGCCCAGTGACACCTGAGTGCTGTTGCTTCTCCAGTTACATCTCTCCCAGTACAGGTGTCTCTCCCAGGGAGTGATTCCTGGCTGGATCCATACAGACCTATCCCTTCTCTAGAGCAAGTTGCCTATTTCCCAGTGTGTAGTACTCAGGTATCTGACTCTAGATAGTTCCCCTACAGCCCTGAATTTGTTGTTTCACTGCTAGCTTTCTTTGAGAATACCTTGAATATTGTGAATATTGAATATTGACAGTGTCCAAATCTGCTGTGGAATAGTGTGGGAGGACTGTGTGGAGCAGAAGCAATCAAAACTGATGCAGGTCCTGAAGGAAACCACAGAACTACACCCAGCTTGGAAGGAACAAGCTGGTTTTGTGGGAAAGGGCGCCCTTGGGAGAGCTAACCCTCAGTGGGACTGACTCTGGGGAGCTGGCTTATCTGACAGCATCGATGCACCAAAGCATACCCCATGGAAGAACCTGAGGATGTGAGGAGGGGCACCACACCCCGAAAACTTGCCACCAAAAACTCATTACAAGCACCAGTCCTGTGATAATGTCTGCTGGTATCTGCCATGCACAGATCCTACACGCCTCCATACTCAGGCAGCAGGATGTGGCAACCAGCAAAGCCCACATGAAAATAAAAAGCCACAGGTCAGTTCTGGTCACACAAAATCAACCCTGGGCCCTCTCCTTCCCTTCCTACTGTCACAGGATTCCCACTCTTCCATGGGAGAGGAGAACAGGCTTGGTTGGAGGGGCTGGCATGGAGACAAGCAGTAGTGTATGAACAGAAAGAAAAATTCCTGGCTATTGAGATGCTCCAAGATATCACTGCCAGTATAAGCATCATTATCTTAAGCTGACGTAAGCCCAATTGCTTTTTTAGAAATTACACTAAAAAATATCCTAAAAACCCCAAACAAAACAACCAGGAAGAGAACTGGCTGGTTTTAGTAACTTGCAAAAGATTAGAAGTTGATCATGTGCTCACCTCACAGTTAAAATAAGTTGTATCTTATCAACAAGATGTCCGTCTTTAATTATAAATTATATTTTCCCAGCCTAAACAAAGTTTGATATTTATGCTCCATTTCCTCTGGGTCTGATTATAGCCTCTTCTTTTTTTAAAAAATACATAAGGAACAATGGTTCAAGAGCTTTGCTCTAGCCACTCTTTTTCTGTTTCTGCTGCTGTTGTTGAGGGAAGTTTGTTGCTGGGATGATGCTTCACACACGGGTGCTGATACAGGTAGTGAGCTGAAAAGTGACATTGTTCTGGTCACCAGGTCAGCTGTGATTCCTGTCCCATCTCAGCCCTCATCTCATGGTGCACAGTTCTCAGGAATGCTGATTTTAAGTCAAAGAAGATGTTGCTCTTGGCATTTCCCCAGACTAGATTTGTGTCAGTCCCCTTTGGTACCGACCATAACCTTCCTCTGGTCCACATGGCAGGGTAAAAATGCATATCCAGTTCCCATGGGGGACACCCCACACTCAGCAAACCAGATGTGGCCAGCTGTGAAGGAGTTAGCTGCAACCATGTTACAATGAAGTGATTTAAGGGGTGGACAAAGTCCTGGCTCATCTGATTACTCTTGGGTGCCAGGGTCCTCAAACACTGCTTGAAGCCTAGGCAGACAGTGACAGAAAATTGAGCAAGAAAGCAAAACGCACATCACAGTGCAAAAAGACATTAATGGAACCCTTGAGAGATGTTGTACCTCACCTGGAGTGGCAGATATGGTGGAGACTCCCAGCACAAGCAGGAATTGCCACAGGATGGGGTGACTTTGGTGAAAAGGGTCTTCTGCAGATCTTTCAGAGAGATGATAACACAAATAACTTGGGAAGAAAACAATGCCTGATGGGGAGGCTCCTGGAGGGAGCTCTTACAGGGAGGCAGTAAGAGAAAAAAGAGAGGAAAACCATGTGGGAAAAACTCACAGACAAGTAAACAGATATGACAGGAGCTGCAGAGTGTCATAATTTTTTTTGGAGGGGGGGAGTGTCAAAATTGTGCAAATGGACTTTGTGTTTGTATTATGGGGGACCTAAACAATCTCCAGGTTAACTCTGGCTTTATTTTCCAAACCCTGTGGTCCTCAGACATGCACCATCCTGCAGTGAGACTTTGAGCTATGGCTTGCAAGCAAAGTCAATAGGTGAACAACTCAAGAAGAGAAATAAGGGAGAAACTTTCTGCCTTGCACTTGCCCTGCTCCCATGGTTGAGGGAAGCCTGCATTTTACCCTGACTTTTGAAGTGAAGGGTTTTTCCTGCTCTCTGCTAACTTCTCCAGGGACATCTTCTAGCCTGTGCTTGAAATATCCCAAAGCTTTATCAACAGGTTCAGGGAACTGTACTGCATGTGACAAGTCTGATTTATCTTGAAATGCAAACCAAACAAGATTGATGTGGTTTCTCTTGCAAATATTTTTTATATCTCTGCTCTAGCACTGAAATAGCAGAAGGATCAATGAATCAGGTGGTGTGGAACAAGCTGAAGAACAGTTTGCTCTGCCTTCTGTGCTAATGGGCTAAAGATCATGTTTCTCTCTGAATCTCCTGCTTAATTTAAAGTGTGCAATAGCATCCATTCCTCCTCCTTCTTTTCTTTTGGTTGGTGGAATGAAGAAAGTTGGTCTCTCTCCCCAGCATTTTCAGTCCCTAGTATTGAATCAGACTAATAAAAATTACTCTTATTTATCAACCACAATTTAAATAATGAATTTTCCCTTTTGTTGTCCCTTCTTTCCACCTCTTTACCATGTTTTCTGTGGATAGGTGGTGTTTTACTGCAGAGAAGCAATACTGAATGGATTACTGGCATTATGGCTATAAAGCCTTGGCTCTGGTCATGATACAGGTAATTTTCAGCTCTTGCAGAAAAGCATTTCACAACAGTTAGTGGAGAGTATGATCTACATTGTGTTTTTCTCCTCCTAGATTTCTTTTTTAGGCAAATGATGGGAAAAAAAAGGTCAGAATCATAGGGAGAGAAGAATGAGTTAGAAATGCTCTATTTTTGTCATGTTCCCTAAACCCTTTGATCCTTCCCACAGCCCCCTGATCCATCACTACGTCATCACTTACTGAAATCATGGGGGTTTTTTATAGCCCACAGTGGGATTCTGGGTTATTTCCAAAATGTCTTTGCTTACTGGACTTTTTTTTAAAAAAAAATTATTAAGAAAAAGTATTGAAACCCTTACTTAATTCCTTCAGGGTCCCTGCTGAGCTG